TGAAGAACATTTGTGACCCTGGACCACAAAACCAGTCATAATGGTCAATTTATAGATAAGCTGAATAAATAAGCTTTCCATTGATGTATGGTTTGTTAGGATAGGACAATATTTGGCCGAGATACAACTATTTGAAAATCTGGAATCTGAGGGTGCAAAAAAATCTAAATATTGAGAAAATGTTGTCCAAATGAAGTTCGTAGCAATGCATATTACAAATAAAAAATTAAGTCTTGATATATTTACAGTAGGGAATTTACAAAATATCATCATGGAACATGATCTTTACTTAATATCCTAATGATTTTTGGCATAAAAGAAAAATCAATAATTTTGACCCATACAATGTATTTTTAGCTATTGCTACAAATATACCCCAGCAACTTAAGACTGGTTTTGTGGTCCAGGGTCACATTTCTTATTATCAGTGTTGAAAATAGTTTTGCAGCATTTATTTTAAATCGCTTTTTATATACTAGTGTAAAATACTTTTACTGTCTTTTTTGTGTTGTCATTTAATGCATAAAAGTATAAATTTCTTTGAATATATTATTATTATTATTATTATTATTATCATTATTATTATTGGATACTGGGGCTACTGTCAAGCTCCTGTTGGATACTGTCATGCTCATAATTATGACCAAAACAACAACAAAAACATACAAAATTCCTTGAAAGGGGATTCTGCACTGTAGATTGGAAGGTGCAAAAATTTTAAATTGTAAATTGGATAGTGAACAAAAAATGTGTTCAATAAGTTAGCATGATACCAAAATGAACGTATTCATACAGGAGACTAAAGAGAACTGGGTTGTCTGAAGCAGTGGCAATCTTGCAACTGAAGTGTTGTCCGAAATCAAATCCATCCATTTATAAAATAAAAATGAAAGAGAAGCGAAAGAAAAAAAATAGATGTATATAGAGCATTCCTGGTGTGCTGTGATCGCTAGAGAATGAAAATGCAAATCACATCATTGCACCGTTACATCCAGGCATCTCAGGGCAGGGACGGCAAAAACAAAATGAATAATGAATACATATACAAACAATCTAACACACATACAAGACATTTGCTCATTATGGCAGAGGTGGCTTGACAGTGGTCACAGAGGCTCAGCAGACAGACAGTTGTAACATCTGGACAATCTGTTCTTATAAACACATCACTTTCTGTGTCTCTTTGTCTCTCTCCCTGACAGCTGGGCTGTGTTTAACCTGGCCTGACCTGCCGCTAATGGGGTCTATAGGTGCCAAATGCCAAACACGCACCCTAACACATGCCAACACTTTGTTTCTTTACTTATTCATTCTCATTCTCGTTCCTTATTCTGTTGTTCTGTCCTATCAAGTGCCTGACATCTGCTGCATCCAGATTACTAGAGATATTTCTGGATTTGTACTGGAGCCAAAGATTCTTTTCAAAATCCTATATACTGTAGGTAACGTTTGCATGGCTGGTCAGGGGTGTTCAAAGTCAGTGCGAGATTTCAAAACATGTCGTCAAGTGTTGCCTAATTTAATTGTAGCTTGTTTTACCATATTGTTCATCCTCAGTGTGTAAGTGCATTTGCAGATCCATGGGATTTCTCTTTCCCTATGAAATCAAGGTTTTTTTTTGTTGGCAGAATGGCAGTACCGCAGGAACTGAGCACCACAGGAACTGGGAATGAATTTAGTTCTAGGAAAGTTTTTTTTTTTTTTCCTAACTCACTTTATAACATCAGTCGAACCATAATAAATGCTGTGTCGATTAGCATTGCATTAGAAATATACCTTATTGTTATGAAAACACCCGCGATGACTTGAACACAGGAAAACAATATATTGTCACCGTTGTGTTTATTGTCTTCATGGTTAATGAAAGTTTATATTCTCTTTTCATTCAGTTCAGAGATGGGGACCCATATTATGGATGTTTTGTCCACATTAGAGAGATCCTAGCATCATGAGTTATATTACCTCTGTGAGGCATATTTGGAGTTTCTGTGCGAGGGTTCCCACCGACTATGAGTATGAATGAAACAAACATTATATGTGTTTATAGTGCTCCATACTGCTCACACCACCCTATTTTGGGTAAAAATAGATACACTAATATTTATCTCTAAAGAAATTTGAAGTAAACATATGATAATCCATATGTTGTTCTCCAGTGTACTGGAGTTTACATCACTTTAGAGTTCCTACTGGTGGTGTGAATGCAACCAGGAAAATGTCCCTAGAGGAACAATATAGTTCTCTGTGAACCGTGCCTTGTTCCTATAACTAAGCTCCTAGAACTACCTGGTAGGAAAGCCCCTAATAAGAAATGTTTCCTGAGCACCAAATCAGCATATTCAAATGATTTCTGAAGGATCATGTGACACTGAAGGTTTGAATAATGACTTTGCCAAATTCAGGTTTTGCCATCACAGGAATAATTCATTCAGTGCGGAAATGTATTGTCAACACTGTTCTGTGATTTCTCAATAAAATAGCTTAGAAACTAAAAGGTTCAAGCATATAATATTTCTTAATAACTAAATTCCACAGCTTCACTACTAGTAGAGACACGCTGCCAAGTAGAATGAATTCACACACGCAGTCGCTCTCACTAATGCATTCATATTAATGTAATCTTTACTGTGCTACTTTATCTGTATCTGATTTAGAATGAGCAGAAATCTGTGAGAAATATAACGACCCAAAGACAAAATAACTGATAAAAAAGCTGTTATAGGAGCAACAGCCATGTGGGCAGCGCTGTGTCATATGCCATAGTTGTGCACAAGGTGTTTATCACAGCTCCAGACTTATTTGTTCATTAATGACGTCATCAGCGACTAGTCAACTTCGACTCGACTTTCATCACATAATAGTCGACTTCAAAAAATCAGAAGTCGTTCAACCCCTAGTTGCAAACACAATGAATTTGTTGTGGGTTTTTTAGAAGATCTTGGTACAAACATACATATGATATTAAGAACAAATAGAACATTTAAATAAGTAAGATTAAAGAAAAAAAATTGTTGTCCTAAATTGTAATATAATAATAATATTTCACAATATAACTGTTTTTACTGTATTTGTGATCAAAGAAATGCAGCCTTAGAGAGCATAAGAGACTTTTTTCAAAAACTTTAAAAAAATCTTACTAACCCCAAACATTTTAACGGTAGTGTGTATCTGCTGTAAAGTGAATTTTGTTCATGTTCAGGTGTACATTAGCATATAGATTAGCCTCAAATCCACAGTCTTGATTTTGTGAGGTCATTAAAAACAGTAAGGTATTGACAGTTACAGGAAAGGTTGATGGACTATCATTGTGATCGTGGCTGATGTCCCTGATTCAGTTAGCTAATGTGCAGGAACATCGGTTTGCTTCATGCCTTGTGAAAAAGGCACTACATCGTACATCCGTTCTATTACATTACAATATACTATCACATTAAGGTGTCTGTAAAATATGACTTTCGATGTTATCTGAGTAAATGAGCTTAACCAAAACAGGCAAGCAGTCTGTTATTACCTCTTTCACACATAAAGTGTTAGTCACGCTTGGCTTCGATTTTTGCCATTGTGTGGCCGGACTGCGTCCGTTTGTTGAAAACACAATTATTTAATTTAGTCGCAGGTCCTTTATTCGTCAGTGTGCAACAGTGTCGACCTGTAGTCTGTACCTCATCTGCCTGAAAGAAAATAGATATGTGCGACTGAGAATTATGAATACTAATGCAGCTCTGCCAGGAACAATTAATAGCTAGTAAGCATACGACGACCTAGCCCTCTTTAAATATGAGTGTTTAATTAGGCTGAATTATTAATTGGGGCTTTATCATATCTCAGAGGGAGAGGAAGGTAAATGGGTTTTAAACTAATGACTGCTATAGCAGATATTTAACTCCCCTCACTTTGACAAGACAAAGCAGATAATAATGTTATAGCGGCTCGTGAATTATGGACTCAGTCTATATAAAGAGATGCATTAGTCTCATACTTTGAGTATGAGGTTGAACCATTGCATTTGTTTAAAAGGCCATGACCTAATGACTGCTACTGACGCCAATGGAGAGATTATGGTTCAGGAGGGTCTGCTTATGAGAGATTTTGCTCATAAGCATTTGCTCAATGGGCATCTTCACTTTTGTTATAGCTTTTAATATTATGACCCATTCACACAGATTCTAGCACTGGAGGTCACCAGGTTGGTGTAGTAATAGCATTCCTCCTTCTGGATTTGGTAACGCTAGTTGGCTGTGCAGATGGCCATAGATTTTGAAATTCTGATCAAATGGATGCATTACAGGTAAAAATGTCATTCTGTTTTGAAAATAAATCTGTATGCTTGCTGTTAATAATGAATTTTTCTGCAGAGGAAAGCATTTGTATAAAAATTATAGCAGTGCATAATGCATCATATCATAAATTAGGTGAACAATTAGCAATGCATGAAACAATTTTCAGAATACTGACAATTTCTTACCCTGTTTTTCATGCGTTCATTATTTTTTATTATGTAATGCTATATGTTGGCAGATATATCATGCAGTATGTAGATATATCATAAAATCACCCTTCTATGTTCATGCAATAATGTGAGCTTCAGTGCATTGTACATTTAAATTTTATCATATAACACACATATCCTATCGCCACAAATCGCAAGCTCTCATTGAAAACAAATTGAAGACTTCACATTACTTTAGAGATGTTAAATACTTCTACACAAATTATTTTGATAGTAAAATGTCTTTGATATTGCACTTTTTATAATTATTTATAATTAATCATAATACGTCATGGCTTCAAGGTATCACAAGTCAAATTAGTCTTGCATATCAATATCCAACATGAAAGACTTTTTCTTTCTTTTTTTGAAAAATGTATCATTAATAACATCATGCTGTTAAATCAATATTCTGTCACTGTGTTTGTCAGAGTGAAAGCAGAATATAAATGGGTATTTTTTATTTTATTTGAACAATTATGACATCTAAAGCATAAACAAATATGAAAGAAAAACCTCTCACTCATACCAAACACATTTAATCACACTGCAATCATTTATATTACAAACAAGAACTGACTCTCAAAGTGTCTTAAGGCAGAAAGATGACATCTTAAATCTCAGGCTTCATATTTGTGACCCCTCAAGTAGCTGTTATACCCTTCTGGTGACTGTATGCCCCCGTGTGCGTTCCCGTGAGTGTATGTGTGTGAAAGTGACAAGCAGAGGTGCTAATGGTCGAAGCACAGTGATCGTTTCACACCTACGCGACTTGCCAAGTGACATTTTAGCAGTCTCTCACTTCTCACAGTGGTTGAACTGCAGCTTGTTTTATATACTGTATGAACATGTATCTTTTTCTGACTTTGTGCTTTTGTGTTTGTTATGTGTCCATTTCAGGTTTGACCCTCAAATACTCTGAATTTCACGCCTCGCCTCATCACCACACCAGCTACCCTTTTATTCTAGAGACAGAGCTCTGTAAGGTGTAATATGCATGCGCGCACACACACACACACACACACACACGTCCTACTTGCTTTACGTCTCTGACAACCCATTTACATGGGAATCATAATGAGGGAAAATTGAATCTGTGCCTCTGATGACCTCATAATGGCCGAGTCGGCTGGTAAGGGACAGCTTCTCTGTGTGCGTGTGTATATATAGAGAAGAATAGCTCTTTTGTGAAGAAACTGTATTAACTATCAACGACTGAAACAACCACTGCTCCAGCAGAACAGGTTTTTCTGTGCAAATTCATTATCGTGTTTAAATTTAGACTGTCCCTTAGAATAACTGCACTCAAAAATACAATTTCATATATATATATATACACACATTTCTGAGAAGTGCATGACTGCTTTGTGGTAAAACAGGAGAAAAAACACCTGCCTATTGAGCTTTGACAAGGTCAGGTGAACCTATTAAATTGTTTTGCAGGAAAACAAGAGGTTTATTTTCAAAATTACTATGATTGTTTATATAGTACTTCACCAGGGTCTCTGGGATCACAAACATAAAAAATAATAAAAAAAATAATAATAATAATTTCAACGGAAGATGAGGGTTATTCCATCTGCATTTTCCTTTTACACCAATTGGAATGACCTTGTCAATGCAGATGGAGACTTGATTGTTATTTTTAATCCATCATCATTTGTTTATTAAATTATGTAGTTTATTAAATTTACTGCCCTACTAATTTAAAATGTGTCTAGCGTAGCATTGCTGAAACTGCAAGGGATTTCTAATTCCTAGCTTGGAACAGGGACAGGATTTGGAGAGTAAGGCCCAATCCCAATTCTATTTTATACCCCTTCCCCTCAGCCTACCCCTTCCCCTTGTCCCTTGAAACAGAGTGTCAAGGGGTAGGGGTGAAAATATTCCCCTAAGAATTGGGACACCACCAGAGTATGTGAACAGAGTGGAGCGGCAACAATTTCTCCTCCGTGCTCCGAGCATTCAATAACCACTCCGCTGCGGGTTCACCATTTCCCGCTCCCGCTCCACTCCTCGCTCACTGATATCAGAAACACCGCTCCGCCTTCGCTCCATGACAAAATTTACGGCTAAAGTATTTCAGTATGTTTTTAAATATCACAGAAATTCTGTTCATAACATATTAAAAGAAAATACAATAAAAAATAAAATACTAGGAGAGTAGTTTCAAGGCTTATTTCAATTTTTTTTCCTACCACATGCCAATATTACATGGTTGTCAGCTTAAAAGGTATCATTGCTGCTTTTTGCAGAGCAAATTTTGTTTGTGAAGAATGAATATAACAGTACGTTTTCGTCAGTTATTTTATCTACGGATCGCTGCATTTCTTACAGATTTCTGCTCATTCGAAATCGGATACAGATGAAGTAGCACTGTAAGATTACATTTGTTTGAATGCATTATTGAGAGAGCGATTGTGAATAAGTGCTGTATCTGTTTAAATCATGCTTTCACCCGAAAATATTCAGTATCTAGAAGGAACAAACAAATTGCTTGAGAACTATAACTTCCCGCTCATGTCCATTGCTGTCATCATAACCTTCACATTATTTCTGATTTGAGTGATCCATCTGTATCAAGCTAGCTGAATATGTTTAACATGTGATTTTTTTGCTAAATATGCAGTTATATTACGGGCCGTTGGTATGAATTGTACTCGTGATGGAGCAGTTGTGGAGCGCTCTTGGAGCAAGTGAAACCACGACGCTCTGACTTTTAAAAAATTTGCTCCAGGCTCCATTCAAAATCACACTGCTCCACTCCGCTCCGCTCACGTACTCTGGACACCACTACTATACACGTCATCATACATCGTCTACAATACACACACCTATACTGGTGTGCTGGTTTGCATTAGAGCCTTTAATTAGCGATCTATATAAATGCGCTGCTTACTGACACACACACACACACACACACATATCAGAGATCGCGCAGCTCACACATCCAGGAGCAAAGAAACGTGTAAACGCTGCCCCACGACTTTTATTAATAACAGTTTAAATACTGAATCGCTACATTATATTTTACAGCAACGAGATTATAAAATCTCTGTTTTTGAAGTAAACTCACTCTAAAAAAGAGAAACGCACAGATGCACATACACGCAACTTTCATCTCTCTCTCTCGAATTGGCAATATTTGAGAAAAGGGTTTTGCGATTTCTAATTATTGGGGGGACTAGCCCCCCTCAATGTCTACGGTGGTTATCGCCCTGATCAGACATGAAAATATGTTGTGGTATTATCGTGCAGTCAGTAATGATATGACGTTAGCAAACTTTATCGATTTTTTGCAAAAATGTATTTGAGTAGCATGACCGTAAATATGAACTCACGATTGAATGTAACATAAAACAAATTATTACTTTTCGTTAAAATCTTTATTAATGCCAAAAATGCTTACATTTATGTGTCTTTTTGTTCGCTCGGGCAGCCATGTTGCCACTGAAGCCGGTTTACGCTGAGATAATTCATACCCCTTCATTTGAAGTATGGTCCCGAAAAATCTTAATTTGAAGGGCTAGCTGGCCTTCCCCTTACCCCTACCCCTCCAACCAAAAGAGAATTGAGACACCCCTACCCCTTCACGTGAACGTGCGAAACGGAGGGGAAGGGCTAAGCGGTAGAAATGGGATTGGGCCTAAATGTTGAAATTAAGCAGTACTTTGAGCAAGATGACAAAGCTGCACTGCGTCTCAATTCACCTATACTATACTGTAAATGTATGTGCTCTTTTTGTAAAGAAATATAATTGTAATGTCTCTGATTACTTAATTTTAGGGAATTCATTATTATTAATTCATTCAGGGTTTGAAAGGACTCGAATCTGAAAATTCGAGGTCCACCTGATTAAAACTGAATTCCAATTTGATAGTTTACACTTTAAATCAACGGTCGTCCAGCGAGCCGTTGACCTCAGTATATTTTAACAATTTGAATACTTGTATTTCCCTGGCTACGGGCTAATACGTTCTTTGATAAGTAAGCTACGAGCGAGGTAACGTGATCTTGGCAAGGTTTGACTTTAAACTTATACGACACCAGACAATGATTCTTTATAAATGAAACACAAATTTTATTGGCTATTCTAGATTACATTAAAACTAAGCTAAAACACACACATACACACACACATTTACATACAGAATGTCATCACTCCTCTGAGTAGATGAGACAAGGCTGACAGGAAATCGCCCCCGGATATTGGAGTCATGTGCTGGGATGATTCCATGGCATATCAGTGTCTGTTATGGATAGAAATCCTACATAATTTTGAGTAAGTTTTGATTTGGGATATACTTCTACTGTCATAATTGCGTCTTTAACAGACCACACTGTGCATTGTTACATGCATAATGTCACCCTAAACTGGTTTGTCAATCATCTTGTCACAGTTAATGTCCTCATATACACAGTCCAAAATTCAGTTAATCTTTAATTTGTGCTACAGTTCTTCCTACTGTAAAAAGAAATACCACATCAATCTGACAGTCGTGGATCTTTCATGTGTGCACAACTAATTCTAGTTCTGAATACTAGGACTGATAGTATGTGAACTGGAATGCAGCAGTGGACCTGTTGGTGTTTAATGTTCTGTTATATTGGAGTTTTGTGGGTTTTCATTGTGATGAAGATTAGAGGTTTAACACAGACTCATGTAACAAATCTGCCCTGCAATTTTGCTTTAATCAAAGAGCATTTATTGTGTAAATGCCAAATGCAGTGCGCAGTCTCCTCTTCCTTGTGTTCACATGTCAAAAAATGCACATGTGCTAATACTGGATAGTTAATTGCAGATCCAGTTGAGTTTGTCATGTTTTCAGGGCTTAAAGTTCTCCGGCACTGTGCCGGATCTCTGGCGTGCTGCGTTTGGCTGTGGGGAGAAAAAGATAGTCATCCTACATTTAAAAACACATAGCAATTTTCTCTGGCCCAGCTCCGGCCCACACAACCAGCTTTTGCTTGGCCCACATACCGCAATGAATTACGGTCCTAGTGTGGACCAGGTCTGGATTGCAGACAAGGGCCACACATGGGCCATAACTAGCCCAGATCTCAGCCAAGTTAATTACCCATAACTGGCCCTGAATTGGGCCAGATCAAAATGTAACATTGGAACCAAAACACAACCTTAAGTAAACCATATCAACACCAGTCTTTAACCAGAAAGCCCAAAACTGAGCCACACCTGAGCCTGATCCACAGGTAAACTAAACCTGACAGCCAAAATATGGGCCACAAATGGACCATAAAAGGGCCATGACAGATCCATATCTCAGACACCTGTATGACCATAGCTCGCCCTATTCTGGTCCTATACGCTGGACCAGATGGGTTCCACATGTCAGCCTCAACAAAACCATAACCAAGCCACTTGATACCCCCCCCTCCCAGATGAATAGTCACAACAACGACAGTATTCTGAACAAATATTTAATGTTTAATCAGCAAACCAAGTTGAATGAATCTCACACCTAACATGCTTATTTGTTTTGCTTGGGCAGTGTGTTCACCCTGTTGGAGTATGGCAGTGTGAATTGGCTTTTAG